ATAACAGACGTACGATTACACAGAACTTGTTTTGGATCCATAAAAACACAAGACACAACTAGATCCAATACTACAATTAGTATGCAAATCAGACATCTGTCTAGAGAACGTTTACATAAAAAAACAATTAGCTTCATCAGCTTTATGACTGATCTCCAGCAGACTTACATCAATGTGTTTTTTCCTTGCATAGACTCATAATAGGAATCGTCATCCTAGTGCACACACAACAACCAGTAATTTACTGCTAATGTTGCAACTTAACATATCGAAACAGATTCACCAGTATTTCCCGGAATTAATAAAGGGACTAAGCCAACAAAAAATGAATGAATGAATGAATGAGTGAATGGGACGGCACGCTCCATTGTTTGTGCTATTCAGTAAATATGACCCCTAATGTTTGAACTCAAAGTATACTGTACATACAGTTGAAATCAGAATTAATACCCCATCCTTAACCACCCCCCACCCCCTGATTTTTTTAATTGTTATTTTTTTCAATATTTACCAAACGATGTTTAATAGAGCAATGACATTTTCACAGTATGTCTGATGATATTTTTTTCTTCTGGAGAAAGTCTTATTTGTTTTATTTCAACTAGAAAAAAAGAAGTTGTATTTTTTTTTTACCATTTTAACATTTTAAGGTCAAAATGTTTAGCCCTTTTAAGCTATTTTGTTTTGACTGTCTACAGAACAAACCATCATTATACAATTACTTGCCTAATTAAACTAATATGCCTTGTTAACCTAATTAACCTAGTTAAGCCTTTAAATGTCACTTTAAGCTGTATAGAAGTGTCTTCAAAAATATCTAGTAAAATATTATGTACTGTCATCATGGCAAAGATAAAATAAATCAGTTATAAAAAAAATAGTTATTAAACTATTATGTTTACAAATGTGTTGAAAAAATCTTCTTTCCTGTTATACAGAAATTTGGAAAAAAAATAACCAGGGGGGCTAATAATTCAGGGGGGCTAATAACATACTTGTTTATCTGAAAAAAACAATGCTGAAGTCAGATATTCTGGTTTGAAAATGTAAGTTATGTGACAAAAGGTCTGTCTTTGTTTTGGTTCATTTAACCCTCCTTCTGCCAGTTTTGCCAATTATATTTTAGCACTCCAGGTTGCTTTGGTGGAAAACAGCGTATTTAATTCATTCAGTCAGGAAAGCTCTCAAAATGTGACCTCCGTTGGACAGCAGACTCCAAAATGAGATACAGATTTACCCAAGTTCCACATGAGATGGTTATTAATTAGCACATAATATAAATATTACGAACATCAACATTGGGTAAACATGTTACATTGTAACCCCGTATCCTAACAACACGCTACATGATGAGATTTGCAGTGATAAGTTGTTGGGCTGCTTGCACCAGGCAAAACACAACAGAAATTTAAATGCAGCTTTTGAGAAATACAGAATAGTGCACTTACTGCTCTTCAACGAAATAGTAAAGTTTATAATGCATAGTAAACCTTTTTAACATTATTAATTGTACATGCTGAATCACTGACACTTTACATGTTGGCTTGCACTGAAGTTCCATTTTAAAGGGTTTATTTTATTTTCAAGATCTGAGGTAAGCTACCTCTTTCGGTAGTACGACAATGTCATGTAAAATGACATTAAATCTCACATTATTCACAATTAACGCTGAATAAAGCACATGAGTTGCACCTACGGTAAACATTGTCAGTTTACCATGTTGTTTGGCGGCAATAAATGTAAGCTGTTTCTAAAATAAAAAAAATTAATAAAAAAAGTAGGTGTACTTTAGAACAAAAACGTCTTTTAATATGGATTTTTTTTCTATCATGTGCTATTGCTTTTATTTAGAACACGGTTTAAGTCAGCCTTTAATCAGCCTTCAGGCTCAACAGTCAGACACACTGTTGTTGGTGTCATCAATCTGGCAACCTGCACTTGCATTTGATTTCACCCAGGTGTGCAATACCTAGTTCAACCACTGGGTGTCAAACTTACATAGGTCTACTGCACCTTTAACATATAGCGTATTTCAATATATATTTTATTATAATTTTTTTTAAATTAAACTAAGTTGTTAGTATTTCTCAATCCTTACAAAACTAACTTTATTCAATATGCTTATTTTCAGAAATAACAGCAAATTTGCAGCAAATACTAAAATCAACTTTTATTTATTACTTTGTACTGGGGCTATTTTTCCACATTACATGCAATGATAGTATAATAATAGTAATATTTTATAGCTATGTTTTAATCTTGTACTACAGCTACAATTATTGTATTGTAATTATAGTAAAAAAAGAAAAAAAACAGCACATTTTGTATCTTAAGTACACATCGTATACTCTCAGAAAACTAGTTTAGTAAAGTAGGCCTATCATTTTCAGTATGTTTATTGACAGTTGTATACAAAGCAGAATGAAATTGTACATTTTTTAGTTTCTTTTTTTTTACTTTTCTGTAAGGTGCATGTGTGGCATGAGCAACCGGAATGCAAGTAGTAAGAAAAAAAGATAATAAATAAGGACAAAATTTAGTTTTTTTTTTTTTTTTTTTTTTTTTTTTCTGGGCTGTACCTTGATTTCTTCAGTAATGCATCACATCTAAAAGGATTAAACATGACTTTGCAATGATTCCCATATAGCAGGGGTGTGCAAACTCGGTCCTGGAGGGCTGGTGTTCTGCTGAGTTTAGTTCCAATGTGACTCAACACACCTGCCAGGAAATTTCTAGTTAGAACTTGAGTAGCTGGTTCAGGTGTGTTTGATTAGGGGTAGAGTTAAACTCTCCAGGACAATGGCCCTCCAGGACCGAGTTTGGACACCCCTGCCATATAGAAATATGACATACAGTTGAAGTCAGAATTATTAGCCCCCCTGAATTTTTAGTGCGCTTGTTTACTTTTTCCATAATTTCTGTTTAACAGAGAGCTAATTTTTTCAACACATTTCTAAACATAATAGTTTTAATAAATCATCTCTAATAACTTATTTTTTTATCTTTGCCATGATGACTGCAAATAATATTTTAATAGATATTTTTCAGGACACTTCTAAACAGCTTAAAATGACATTAAACGGGTTAACTGGGTTAATCTGGTTACCTAGGCAGTTAAGGGTAATTAGGCAAGTTATTGCATAACAGTGGTTTGTTCTGTAGATTATCGAGAAAAAATATAGCTTAATGGGGCTAATAATTTTATCCCTAAAATTGTGTTTAAAAAATTCAAAACTGCTTTTATTCTAGCCTAAACAAAACAAATAAGACTTGCTCCAGAAGAAAAAAATATTATCAGACATACTGTGAAAATTTCCTCACTCTTAAACATCATTTGGGAAATATATATATAAAAAAAAAAAAGAAATTTGAAGGGGGCTAATAATTCTGACTTCAACTGTATGTGCAATCTACATACATGACATACAAGATTTTATTTCAAATAGGCCTATAATATATATATATATATATATATATATATATATATATATATATATATATATATATATATATATATATATATATATAATAGCCATTTTCTGCAAATATTTGAAATATTGCATGAATATGTAACATATTTGACATTTTTATATGTGAAATTCAAATAGGAACTTGCACAGTATGTCATAGACTGTATCATTTTTTGTATATATGTATGCGATATATGGCTTATGCCTCTCTTTGTCAACCTAATTGAATTTCATAGCTCTTTATAAAGCAGTAATTCTAAAGGTTATTTTTGCAAATATTTGAAAAAGATAATTTTTCTATGTCCGATCTGTCAGATAATGAAAGTTAGCTAAGTAAACACATAGATTTCACATTTATATAAATGGTGAGCAACCTTACCTGATCCTCGCTCGTCATCGCAGTTGACACACGCTGTAGAATCCTCCAGTCTGGAAAGATGAACCAGGAACAATGAATCACAGATATCACTGACTGCTGACATGCACTTATCAACTGTAATGACAGGATTGTGTGTGTGAGATTGTGTGTGGGGAAAAGTGTGCGGAGACAGGAAACAAAGACAGACAGAACGAGGGAGAGAAACACTGGATTGCAGGGAGAAGATGTCAGCATCGGTGGATGACATGCCGTGAAGATTGTCTAATGAAAATGTTCCCAAAGCAGCTCTCGTCTGGTGATGGAGGTGATGAGAGCCGTGTAACAGAGCTCTGAAAGACACTCACACAGGCATTATTGCCTTCATATTATGAACGCTGCTGAATTTTGTGTCTTATTTAAGACCAAATTATTTAGCATTAATTAGTTAGTGTTTGAAGACTGGTGGTCCAAAAGTCAAATGTCACTTTTACTCTTTTTTTTTTTTTTTTTTTGAAGATGATGATTTTTACAAGTGTCTGTGTACTTTACAAGATGTGATGAGCCTGTCAGGCCTTATTCTGAGTGAACACAAGTCTAGATGTACAATATCCTTTAAGAAACAGACCCTTTTTAATTTTTATTTTTGGAAGAAACAGCACATAAGGTGAAACTATATGCCATGAGTTTTAGATATTTACCCTTTACTGCCTACCGTATTTGTTTTAATGGCTGCCACTGTCCTAAAACACTTAACCTCCCAGTTGTTAAACCTGTCAGAATATAAAAAAATGAGGGTGTATTTTTTTGTCTTTTGCAGCCTAGTACTGTTTTATTAAACGTGTTTCTTCTAAAACACCTTTCTAGTTAGTTTGGAGCTTATAGAGACAACTATATAAAACACTTCCTGAAAAATACTGCATCCCTTGAGCAACATGATTAATCTTTTTTTCTATGCAACATTGTAAAATCTCATAGCTCAGGGCTTTTGTGGAAAATGTAAACAGCAAACAATTACAGCTTATACAGCATCAATGCTCCGTTGTGGCCACTGTATTATTTTTTAAACTCTTGTATTTGAAAATAAGTCATCTATCCTTGCTCTCTGTGTTGGATTATGAGGTGATTTGGGGATTTGTGTTTTGAAATGAATGTGTTCTTTGCTGTCTCTTCAGGTGGGATCAGATTGTTCCCACAATCAGACTGAAAGCTCATCTGTGATGAAAAAGACATTTGGACACAGTCAGGTGAGTCTTCCTATGTACTTTGATGGAAGTAAAAAAGCCATATTAGCAAAAATGTTTTTCCAAAAATATATGAACATATATAGACAATGCAGTGGCACAGTAGGTAGTGCTGTCACCTCACAGCAAGAAGGTCACTGGTTCGAGCTTCGGCTGGGTCAGTTGGCATTTCTGTATGGAGTTTGCATGTTTTCCCGTGTTCGTGTGGGTTACCTTCGGGTTTTCCGGTTTCCTCCACAAGTCCAAAGACATGCAGTACAGGTGAATTGGGTAAGCTAAATTGTCCGTAGTGTATGTGTGTGAATAAGAGTGTGTGGGTGTTTCCCAGTGATGGGTTGCGGCTGGAAGGGTAGCCGCTGTGTAAAACATATGCTGGATAAGTTGGCGGTTCATTCCGCAGTTTGTTCCATAAATATTTGGACATTGAGACAATTTCTAACATTTTTGGCTCTTTACACTAATACAATCGATTTGAAATGAATGAGTGAAACCATGTGCTTTAACTGCCTGTCCTCTTTAATTTGAGGATATTTACATCCAAATCAGGTGAACGCTGTAGGAATTACAACAGTTTGCATATGTGCCTCCCACTTGTTAAGGAACCAAATGTTAATATAATAATAATATTTTAATTATTATTATAAATTATTTATATTATTATTATTATTATTATTATTATTATTATTATTATTATTATTATTTTCTGTTTTATATTATTATTATTATTATTATTATTATTATTATTATTATTATAAGGATTATTAAGTAAAAACAGGCTTAGTGATAACAAATAAATGTAAATAAATCAGGTGAACGCTGCAGGAATTACAACAGTTTGCATATGTGCCTCCCACTTGTTAAGGAACCAAAAGTTATTATAATAATAATATTTTTATTATTTTTATTAATTATTATTATTATTATTATTTTTTTTATATTATTATTATTTTATTATTATTATTATTATTAAGATTATTAAGTAAAAACAGGCTAAGTGACAACAAATAAATGTAAATAAACATTAATTTACAAACAAACAAATACAATAGTAGCCTAGAAATGTGCAAAATGTGAAATGTTTAATACAGTATTTATTTCACTGTGCATCATAATTACGTAAACCTTTTTTTCCAAATGTTGCCTATGGACTCAGTCCACCACATTTTCACAATATTTGCATAGTGCTTTTATATTTTCCTCATCTCTGCTCCGCCATGTTGCCACAGTTATATAAGTGAGCTGTCAAGACGCGGTAAGTGCCGACGTGCACAGATAACTGTTTGCTCCAGTGCTAACAAGTGTCAGCCATGAGCACTGCAGCAGCGGTGACAGCTTTTGTCAAATTATAGGTCAGTCTGACAGTGACAGGGGAAATGGAGAGGAAGGTGTAAATGTCTAATCACCTGCTCTGTTTGTGCCAGACTTCAGTGGGGATGCTCCACCATATGCATGTATTCTCTACTCTTGTCATCTCTCTTCTATAGTCGAAGACCCCAGAGCAGAACGGACAAGGCCAGGCAAGGACAGCAGAGGAAAGTGTGAAAACAGATGGGGAGCTAAAAAAGACACAATCGGACAAACACAACTGAAGGGACAGTGGAAGACTTGGCAGATTTTCTGCATGGTAAAAAAAATGATGTCAGATCTGTTTAAGCCCCTCTTCGTTCACTGAGCTTATAAGCACACACACACAGATACATATGCACACAAACACGCGCACACACACACACTGTAGCCAAACACAATCTACATACACTAAATACTCATTCTAACACTGCTAATGTAGAAAAGAAATTCCCAAAATTAAATTTTGAACTTTCTTAATAAAAAATAAAAAATCCCACTGCATAGTATGGCATGCATTATAGAGTTTTAGATATTGATTTTACAAGGTTACGATGGTACTGGTTGTTTTTAATAACTGTTACTTTTTTCACTATCTATTTTGTTTTGATTTTTTTTTCTCTCCCAGAGTGAGGACACACAACGTTCTTTGATTTGTGTTGTTTGTAATTAAAAACTTTTTCTGGCACCGCAGACCAGAATTCAGTGTTAAAGGTCACACTGGGGGTCATTTGAGTTCTGTAAATTTACACTTGAGGTCAGATTTTAACTTTTGTCAAAGCAGCTTCTGAAAATATACTGAGCCATGTACTGAATGCAAAATTGGGCTGCACGATTTTGGGGGGAAAACTGAACTGTGATTTTTTTTTCTAGCACAGACTGATATTTAACATGTATATATGTTGTATATATTTAATTTTATTATCTTCTGTTGAGCCGCACACCTCATATTGTGGCCTTGAATTAACATCTGTTCTGTGACACTAATATGTCAGTGCTTTTAATAATTCATTCCCTTGTTTTAACTAAACAGTGGGCACAATGTAATACTTTGTTGCCCCGTATTCCTAAATTGTGGCCATGTTGTAATGATTAGTTGCCTTGTTGTAGTTAAAACAATATAACTGAACATATTATTAAATTGTGTGAATGAATAAAATGAGGGAATACTTTATTACATATTTATAATCTATTCACTTATTTTTGCACTGGTCATGTGCAAACATTAAGCTTTTATTATGGTGGGAAAAGTTCAAGAGAACTTAATCTTCTCTTGTTGAGTGCAGCTGGTTTAAAGCACTTCTCTTTTCAAACTTGGAGCATGCTGTGTTGTCAAATGCAAGCCAAATTTTAAGCACATGTTGACATGCGTAATCCTGTTATAAAGAATTTACTAGGAAGGAAGCCTCTTTGAGGCACTTAAAACACTGGATCAAGATATAACTAAACACAGAACCATGTTTCATTGAATACTTTTATTCAACCTAATCACAAAGTTTGTGATTTGATATTCAAACGAAGCCATGTCACAGTTTGTGTTTTATTCCGATTAATCGTGCAGCCCTAATGGAAACTGCATCAATCCCACTTCTGCTGAAATGACAAAAAGAACTGTTTAATGCTGTTCAAGGTACGGTTTGTCTCGTGTTGTAGCAAAGATTAATTTACTCCTCCTACTCCATATTACGAGGCTCAAGTTGGCTGGCCAACTATCACTGTTGAATATTTCGGAGCTTTTGGTGCCAGAATTAAAGAGAAAAACTGGACTCACAGTGAGTCGTCTCCCTAAGAATGATGTGCCATGCACCGAGTACTTAATCTACTGCTACATCTCTCTGTTTCTCTACCTTCTTGTGTCCTTTACAATAAACCGTGATTTTCGCTAAATGTGTGAAGAATAAATGGTTATTTGTGGAGTAAAACAACTGACTCGTCAGTGTCCGTGCGTTTCCTGCATCCTGACTCTGCTGCTCCATTTAATTAACACCTCTGGTGCTTCAAGAAAGGCCCTGTTATATCGTTAAAGTGCAAGGTCAATAACCTAGATCCCACGGGATCAAGGAAAAGTCCTCATTGGTGTATCCTGTACGTGAGCAGCACATCATAATAACTTCAGAGCTCCGCTTCTTAGCCTCTTCATAGACCTTTGATTTCTTTTCCTCAGTCCTCACATCTCTCTCTGCCCACCACTTTCTTTTTATTAAGTTTTATTTTTCTATGTAAACACTAAACTGAAGAATATCGAAAAAAAAAATCAGCTAGACATTAATAATTATGGTGAACTGAGTCTTGATGAAAAGATGTTTAAAAAAAAAAGCCTTGACGTGACAGCAGTGGCTTTTGTTTGGAAAAATAACACTGATGTTATTGTTCTTTCAAGATTTTGACAATTACTCAAGGCTTTAGTCAGTTTTTTTGTAATCACACTCAAGGCTTTTGTCATTGATTTTGTATTTTTAATCACTCTTATGTTCATGTATAAAGTAAAAAAAAAAAAAAAAAAAAAAAAAAAAAAATATATATATATATATATATATATATATATATATATATATATATATATATATATATATATATGTGTGTGTGTGTGTGTGTGTTTGTGTGCTCAACTCTCCTGCAGTTGAAAAACAGTTGAGTTTTACTATTTTTAAATCCATTCAGTCAATCTTAGCTTGTCATAGATAACTAAACTGGATTAGACCATTAGCTTCTCACTCCAAATTGATCAAAATCTGTGCACAATAATTAATGCACAATGGAACTAGAGTTAAATGAGAACATTATCAAAACTCTTCAATAGATGCAGCCCTAAAGATGCAAACTGAGATTGCATCTCTTAGAGATGCAATGTTAGACACAATGCACTCAATGAAGCTATTGACATCACTGTGAGGGGTAGGGGCAAGGGTGGGTTTAGGTGAGCCCATTAAAAGGCCTTAGATGCAGCTCGGATTGCATCTGCACCAGGTCTGCATTCAGACCCCAAACTTTTTGATCATTTTTGAGTGAGATGCTAATGGTCTAATCCGACTCTCTGACCTATGCTAAGCTAAGCTAAAAGTGTTCCTGACAGATCTGCTGATGGAATTAAACACTGATAAAACTTGACTTTATGGGAGTTGAAGAAACGAACGAATAAATGAACGAACAAATGAATGCATACATAAACAAACAAACAAATACATACATGCATGCAATCATACATACACAAACAAATAAATAAATAGATCTGTCCTTATTTATTTTTTCTGCTTAGTCGCTCTATTAATCTGGGGTTGACACAGTGGAATGAACCGATAACTTATCTTGCATATGTTTTACATAGCGGATGCCCTTCCAGCTGCAACCCAACTCTGTGGAACATCCATACACACTCTTTCACACACATACACTAAAGACAATTTAGCTCACCCAATTCACCTGAATGAGTGAGTGAATTAATGAATGAATGAATGAATAAATAAAAAAATTTGAGTGTTCCTTTAAAATGAGCCAGCAGCTTTTTTTCTTAAGTTGATGGTGGCAAAAACAATCTACCAGGAGAAACATCCACCAGCATTATGATTTCAGGCTATTTGCTACTTTGCCAATTATCGTCAAAACTTGAGAAGAGGAGCTTGCCAGGTTTATGCTTGAGAGAGGGTTTCTCATCAATGTTTGAGCTGGAGAAGACGGCGTCTGAAGTGCCCTGACGGACTACACGGTCTCTCTCAGATCACTACATGGAGAAATGAGAGCGATGGTGACAAATCTGCGCGAAGAGCCAATTTACCTGTAGCTACACTGTGGCTTCCAAAAATATGATGTTGTCTTCCCTTGAAAAACTTGCCTCTACAAGATCTTATAAATAAAAATGAGCCGTGATCAAAACCTGATTTATATCAGCCTCTCAGAAAAAGCCTCGCGGAGAAGCAGAGTATGCCTGATTACATTTGCTTCCAATAGAGGCTGACTTGTTAGAGACAAACTTTTCAAAGTCAAGTGCGTCATTCAGCACAGGGAATGAGATGTTCAGTTTGAATTTGAAATCCAAGAGAGCACAACAATCTTTGGTGATTAAAAGCATTGTTCACTGCAAACGTATAATGGCACACAAACGAAACACAGTGGTGTTATGTTGATGTGGATGTCTGATCCTCATAACTTAGAAACCATTTGTTGCCTTTACCTCAATTTATGCTTATATTTCAAATAATTCTAGAAAAAAAATACTTATTCAAGCTTTACATTTTAACAGTTTTTCTTGTTTGATTTGAACTGATTAAAGTAACTAGGATGCACTTAATTTTCATCAACATTATCCCAGCAGAGTAGAAGACAGGTCTTGCAAATGTGTAAACCCTTTCTCATTGGGTTGACACATTTTCTCCACCATTTTGAAAAACGGTTAACACAGATGTTATTCAAGCAGTCCAAACTTTATTGTTTTAGCTATGTCTACCAAACAGAAAGCATCTATTCCTAACTATTAGAAACTATCAAGATTTGTATGAAATCACTGAAGCACTGGTTTAACACTTCTTCACACAAACCTTCAATTAGCAATCAGTCTGCAAACCTTATAAAAAAGGTGGCCGGTCTGTGTTGTTCTTTGCCAGCATGGATGGAACAGGTCAACAGCGAATATGTCTTCTGACAGATTTGACTGTATTTTAAAACATTAGTTTCCTCTAATATTTACAGTATTTTATTATTTTTGTCTTTTTTATAACAGTATTTCAGTTTTCAGCCACAGTAAAAAAAAAAAAAGTCATTAATTTAATATAAATTTCAACAAAGGGTCTCTTATTTTAGATCCAACTCTTTGCAAAAAGGTAACAGCCCAAACAGAATGACAAACAAACGGCATGGGCAAGGGCTACAATTCTGTATTGTGTTGTCCATGGTGTAGTGTTTGATTACAATATGCTCATATACTTGTTTGCAAGTTGTGTTATTTGAAGGTAAAATTATCTTTTGTTGCATATTTTAAATGTTTTGACATGGTAAAGCGTTTCTGAACAACTCTGCTTCCACACTACACTGCTAAAAATGTGACCACACACACACACACTCTGGCATGCGATGCAGCATATGTAGACGTTTGAGCTCCAGGTAGTCATCTGCCAAGATGAGAGCATGTCAGACTTTTCATGTCCGACTTTGTTTTTTTTTTTTATCTAATAGCCTACTTGTTCTCAGGTAACGTGTTTTGGCTGAGCATAAAGATAAGTTCATATATTAATTAATGTAACCACGTACACTGATTCTGCATTGCATTTGACTGATTGCTAGCTTTTATTTTTTATAGTGTATAAACTTATAGTACGTTAAACTTTTAAACTTTTGAAAATGATATTCAGTTTTTAAAACTGATATTCATGTCTGCAGCACCGCCTCCGTTTTCAGTTGTCTCCGTTTTCCCCCCATCCACACTGACACGGAACATCAGCGTTTTTAAAATGAAAACGACCTTAACAGCATTTTTAAAAAGCTCAGTTCTCGGAGCTCAAAAACTCTGACGTAGTGTGAACAGATGGCGTAACCATAGCAGAACTTTTCAAATTAAAACATATTCGTGGGGCCTCAGTTGATGGCTGCATCAAAGCAATCAAGAAAAAAAGAAGTAATTTGACTGTCTTATCCATACACAATGACACGCGGAGCTGTCATTCTGACGGCACTGACTTGTTTATTGATAGAAATGTAGTTTTGAGAGATGAACTAAGGATTTTGAGAAAGAGACTGGCTTTTGCAGGTAATCCATGCTGCTTCGCTATTTGTACATGCTGTTTTGAGAAATGCACTTACTGTTTTGCAAATTTAAATTCTGATCTGAGAAATGTACCAAAGTGAAAAACTTTGTCACACTTTACTTTAAGGTACAAATTTATGTCATATTAACAATGCATTAGGTATGACTTTAGTTCAATAAACAAAAAAATGTATTTGCTCCTTAATAAAGTAGTAATTAAGAAGGTAGTTTAGATATTGTGTATAATTATTAACGTAGAATAAGATCATACAGAATGTGCACTTTTAAATCAGTGGTGGGCAAACTTTTTAGACCCGAGGGCTACATCATGTTTTGCAAACCAATTGAAGGGCCCAATGTCAAATCCTTCAAAAAAACTTTAATTTATATTGACAATATTCATGGAAGAAGTAATAGCGAACAGAAACATGTCACATTAACACAAAACAGATTTTTAAAATAGTTATTATTGAGTCAAATTTACAAGTCAAATTAATTTGCACTGCTATTTATATATAATTATCAATCATCATAAAACGATAGAATAATCTCGTATAAAATATAATAATAATAATGTAATATTTTTTTTACAGTGGAGAATAGAAAATATATTGTCTGATAGAAAAAAAATCTCATATTAACACATTTAAAATAATTCTTAAAGTTTACTATTTAAATATACAATAATCAAATTTGCACTGCTTTGAGAATATACAGATAAATCAACATAAAACTTGATAAAACCACAAATCTTTGATAAAAGAACTTCTTAAAGTGGATGTATGCATGGAAAATATATTCTATGGCAAAAAATTAACACATTTAACCAGCAATTATTATATAATTTGAGTCAAATTCACAACAATCTCATTTGAGCTTGTATTAATATGCTCATATCAATCATTATAAAACTATGAGATAAAATGGAAAATGAATCTTAGTCTTTGTTATTCAAAGTCATTCTATTATTAAAAGTATGTTAATGTGAACAATGAGCCTAAAAAAAAGTTATATTAATATAAGCAGCAACACTCTCGCAAAGTACCCAGCTGATTCAGTCGTTGCCTAGCGACATAAAAAAGTGCACCACGCACCTTATTTTCTTGTCAACAAAAAGGCACTGTGGTGCACCTTACGTATTTGGAACTTAAATGCTCTGTGGTGTGAATAACCCCTTAGGTTGTGGTCTTTAAAA